TTTGACTGATGCTAGATATTATAATTTCAAATTTTATTTTCTCTTAATATGTTGAACTTATCAATGAAATTTGGTTTATGTTTGTTGGTTTTCCTTAAAACTTTACTTTCTTTGATTCAATACAATAAAAACAAAAAGTTTGTTCAAATTGATTTCCATAATGATCTATTGAGGATTTGAAAATGAATAAATCTCTTGGTAACTTGGAGTCTGGATTCTTTATTAGGCTCTTATGCTACCAGATGAATAGAATCTTTCACTTTTGATGAAGTGGAAGTGAAATGAGACTAAGTAATGGTGTGACCTTATACTATTATAGTACTTTGTTCCAAGGAGACATTTAAAAGTGAATATCAGAGTCTGAATTTTTATTCTTTGACAAATTAAAATGAAAATAATAGCTCAATTGTTCTTCTTGATAGAATTTATAATAAAGAATTAAATTAATATAATAAGTTAATGGAAACATGTAAGGGTTATTACATCAAAGTACTTCCAATAGGACACAAATTAGCTAGTTCTCATTTACTGCTTTATCATAACATTCAGAATAAAGGGAAACAAATCAATGTTGTAATTTAAGCATTTAGTATTAGCATCACCAGGATGCATTCATCAAGTGCCCCTGGTGTACCCTACCCRTGGTATGTTTAAGTTTTGTCTTCAGGATTCTTTTTGAGATAATGTTTAATTGTATTGCTCTGAGTTAGAGTCTCTTCTAAACTTGGTTAATGTGAATAATATTACACTACTTCAAACTGCTCTAAAATCTTTGTGTGTGTGTATGTGTGTGTGAGTGTGTGTTTCCTGTTTACAATTTCTAGGGAAAATGGAGAAAATATTGATTTGTTTTTGTTATAAAATTGAGTAGACTTTTTCCTTAGATTTTTAGAGTAAAGGAGACAATAATATATTCATGTAACGAAATATTATGCCCAACTTAAAACTATACTTTAAAAGAAAATTAATGACATTAAAATGGGATCAAGTGACAAAAATAAAATATAAAACCCTATATAAGGTAAATTTGATCAGATTATTAGGTAAGTAAATGTAGTATAGAATAACTCAAAATAAATGGCAATATGTTTGAGTAAAATTGTGATTTATTTTCTTTTTAACATTATGTGGGTTTGTTTTTTTTTTTTCAAATTTATAAACAGGTTATATTTTTTCAGTTTTACAAGTAGTGAATATCAATAAAATATATAAAAAGTAAAGGCCAGGAGGAAACATTTTCAAAATAAGAATATGTATTGTTTAAAATTGTTTTTTTAAATCCCCAAAAAGAAAATGCATGACAATATTTATATTTAAATCATTAGGATGTATTTGTCATGATCTCAGTAATGTTTGAAAATGAACTATTAAAGGCAAATGAGTCCAAGATGAACATGTACTATGCATTGGTATAGTTGATATAGTAGTCCCCTTTATCTACAATATTTTTCTGCAATTTCAGTTACCTATAGTCACCTCCCCTACCAAAAAAAAAATCCCAAGAAAAATTTTGGAAATAAATTTTCATTTTTGATTGCATGTCATTCTGATTAGTGTGGTGAAAATCTCAAACTATCCTGCTGTGTCTCACCTGGGACATGAATCATCTTTTTGGCCATTGTGTCTACACTGTATACACTACCTGTCCATTAGTTACTTAGTAACCTCAGTAATCAGATCAACTGATGAGGTACTTTAATCTGTGTGTACCAATAACCTTATTTTACTTAATAATGGCCCTAAAGTGCAAGAAACATGATGCTGGTAATTTTGATACAATTTATTCTTATAAATTTTCTTTCTGTTATTAGTTGTTGTTAATCTCCTATTCTAATTTATAAATTAAACTGTATCATAGAAATATATGCATAGTAAAATATAGCTTATACAGGGTTTGTTATGACTTATGATTTCAGGTACCCATAGGGGGTTGAAACATATCTTTCATGGATAAGAAGGAACTTCTGTCATTTCAGGGCCCAGATCTTCAGAGCGTGGTCCTTTCTCTTAGGAACTTATTACAAATGCATATCCTTGAGCCCCACCACCAGACCACTGAATCAGAAACTCTGGAGGTGGGACCCAGAAATGCATATTTTAAGAAGCCCTATAGGAGGTTATAATGCATACTGAAGTTTTAGAAATTCTACTTTAGGATTTTGAGATTGGGGACTGAGCTAGAAATTTTTCTCAAAAATTTTACCCTAGCCAGACTGGTGCATGCCTATGACCACAGCTATTCAGGAGGCTGAGTCAGACTTGGTGAGACCCTTATAAAAAAGTTGGGGAAATGAGGGTTGATGGGGCAGAGCTGGGGAACATAGCTTGTACATCACTTGCTAGGTATGCCTGAGTACCTGGTATAATCCTTAGTATTGAAAAAATACAAAAAGAAAAATTTTAGCCTAGAAAATCTGTTTCCCTGTTTTATTTCTTCCTGGTATGCTTCTCATTCTTCCTCTCTGCTTCTTACTCATAGTTTTGTTGTATTTATTTATTTATTTGTTCACCTTATTTTCCTAAAATATTTCAGGCAGCTTTATAGAGGTGTATAAAGTACACAGTTGCAAACATTCCTTTAGTGCTATCTGTATTCCAGAAACTGTTCTAAGTATTCTACATATAGTATCTACAACCTTATAAAATAGTTATTTTTGCTATCCCTATTTTACAGACAGGAAATCTGAAGTACAAAGGCAAATAATTTGCCCAAAGCTTGCAAACAGTAAGTGGCAGAATGTTAACACTCTGATTCCAAAGTTGGAGCCCTCAACTGGTTCACCAAGGTGCTTCTTAGAGATAAAATCAATGGGTTAGCTCAGCAGTAAAGTGCTTGCTTGTCCAGCCTGAGTGTGACTGTCAGTTTGATCCCTAGCACCACAAAAAAATTAAAATATTACTAACAAGGAATAGGGAATGTATGGAAAATAAAAGGACAAGATAAATGCATAATCTGTTCTGCGGACTTTTATATAGTTGCTCACCGTGTGCACTAATTAGCCTCCAGCTCTAGCAGAGAGTAAAAAAGGATGAACTATAAGATTTACAACCACCACTTTGATTTCCACTATGGAAACAATCCAGTTTTCAGTCAGGTCACAGTTGAGTCTTGAAAGAGACATTTCATGTGCCTCTATTCCAAGAGATATGCCACTGCCATTTTCATTTCATTCATTCCCCTTTTGTTGGTTTATACAACAATGGCCTAAAATACAAGAGGCATGATGCTGGCAATTTTGTTACAAAGAAATCAGCATGCATTTTGGATTTTATTCCTTCATGTTTCTAGAGCACCTTTTATTTGTTAGGCTCTATGCAAATTACTTAGGGATAGAACAAACCATGATCCAGGACTTAAACATAACCAAGGTCTTGGGTAAAACAACAGTGGTGGTGTCTTCCTTTGGCTTTTCCCTGCTTCGTCTTTGAGTGTGGAGTGTGAAGAGAACACGATGTGGAGCAAGGTCCTAATGGGAGATAAGACCCGAGAGAGGGTTAGGAAACACCTAAAGGAAGTCTGTAGGAAACATTGTGGATTCGTGACTCAAATGCCTTTCTCTGTAATATGCCCCTGTGAGGTTGAGTCTTGGAAGAACTGGACTCTGAGTTTGGGAGGTTCTTTGGATTCCCTAGAAGTCATTTGGCTATAGCAATACTGGTCAGGAGCATGATAGGAGTGGCAAAATCAGCTGGTTTCAACAACCCTTTGAATAGAGAGAGAGGGAGAGGGAGTGTGTGTGTGTGTGTGTGTGTGTGTGTGAGAGAGAGAGAGAGAGAGAGAGAGAGAGAGAGAGAGAGAGAGAGAGGGGGGGGGGGGGGGGGGGGGGGGGGAGATGGTGGGGGGTGGGGAGGGATAGATAGAAGCAGAGAAAGAGTCTTTTGTACATTTATATTTATTCTTTGGCTAAGATGACATCCCTGGCTGTGCTGCCTGGTTGAAGGTCACTACTCTTTGTAAATAACCCTTAAGATCACATAGATRTTTAAAAATTGCCTTCTCTTCTCTTTTCCCTATTTGGATTTATCTAATTGATGGTGACTTTGTCATTTGGGCTGCTATAACAAAATGCCTTAAAGTGGAAGGCTTATCAATAACAAAATTTATTTCTCACAGTTCTGGAGATTAAAAAGTTCAAGGCTAAGGAGACTCAGATTTAGTGTCTGGTGAGGACTCACTTCCTAGAGGGCACTTTTTTTTCCTTCATCCTCACATGGTGGATAGGGTGAAGGAGTTCTCTGAGGCTTCTTTTAAGGCCACCAATCCCCTTTGTAAGAATTCTATACTCATAGTCTAAAAACTTTGCAAAAGAAAGTTCTGAAAACTTTCCAAACCTCCTAATGCCAGTTGCTTTGGGGGCTAAGATTTTAACATGAACTTAGGGAGTAGTAACACAAGCATTCAAACCATAGCAGAGAAAAAGTAGTCAAAATTATTTGTCCCAGTGTCACAGGTGCTACTCAAGCATCATGGCCCTGACTTCTGCAACCTTTAGCCCTGAGTCCCTGGAGGGAAGGATGTCTCTGATTACAATTCTTGGGCCTAAACATATGCATATGAGTGGTTTTGACTACCTAGAACTTCATCTTGTATCTCTAAATGAAAATCAAGAGTATGAATGTTATTTATGCCTATGTTCAGTGTTTTGAAATATACTGTGCCAGCTGCATAAACCATGAGACTAGCTAGCATCTGTATTTTATTTTTAATTTGCAACAATAGACTTTATAGCGATCTTTTCTGGACTGCTTTTGATTAGAAAGAAGAGCAAACTCACTCAAAAGTGTGGATACTGCACTTGAATTATTGAATAAGTTCTAACCATTTAGTGGAGTTTAAAGGTCTTGGGTACTTTCTCCCAGAGAACTGCCCTTCACTCGCAATGCTAACAGTAATGATGTCTCAAAGGATATTCCATGGAATTTGGAAAGCTGTCAGATCTTAAGTTTCCTAAGGGATGGCAGGCGGCCCACTTACATTTTTCCTCTTCTTTCTCTTGCAGTCCCAGCAGAAGTGCATTGTGATCTTTGCCCTGGTCTGCTGCTTTGCCATTCTAGTTGCATTGATATTTTCAGCCGTGGACATCATGGGAGAGGATGAAGATGGACTCTCAGAAAAAAATTGTCAAAATAAATGTCGGTAAGAGGTAACAAACAAAAATTCTCTTTTAGGGAGGGGGGCGAGAGAGTCAAAGAGGACCTTGGGCAGTAAAAAGAAAAAATATCATAAACACAAGTAATCATCTAACTTCTCCTTGGGTTAAACTGAAATATGACATGCCTTATGGAGGATCTTGCTTTTAGACCAAGGCAATAAATAGCAGCAATGATTTTATTCACTTTTTAGTTTGGTCATATCCTATACAGAGTAATGGTCAACCATCAATGGCACAGTATCAGCCCCATGGATCTCCTCTTTCAACTCCTCTTTGAACTGCTACTTGTTTTGTTTTAGGATAGAGGAGGATGTAGAAAAAAATACCAAGAAGAGGTAGATAGATAAGAGCTCTATTTTTAAATATGTCTTGCTGCAAATTTGAACTGAGGCCACAAAATGACAGTAATTATGAATTAGAGCTTATAATGAATTTAAATTGTGATTTTTCCCTGTGGAAAGCATTAGTCTAAGTGCCCATCTTTTCTAGCTCAAAATCAACAGCAACTTGATAATGCGTAGGTGAGTTTTTATCCTGGATATTTTGCCTTGAGGTTAAATATTCTGGCATAGAAAATGTCCTGATGAAACAATTGACTTTTTTTTCAACCTATGATCTGTTATAATCTAGTTACCAGGCAACAAGTATTATACACAGAACAAAGCATACAAGAAAGAAATCAGCATGCATTTTGGATTTTATTCCTTCTTGTTAGAAATGTGTTCCATAAATGTATTTATTTCCCAGACTGAATTTGGGAGAAAAAAATGTATTGTTATTATTATAAGAAAAATAATAGAACAACAGCAGATTGCTGTCATTTTCTGCTAATTCTACTTATTACATGTCAAATATAAACAGACCATAGACAAAGGGCCAATGACTCATATTTATTGAGTAGAAATATTCAGCTTCTCTCTCTCTTACTTCACCTTATAATGAAGACTTCTGGGTTTTTTAAATGCAAACTCTAGCACCTAGAAAGCAATTTTATAGAGGTTAAACCATAAAACCTTCTTTAAGACAAAATATCTAGGAGTTTTTCAGCCCTCATTCCCATGTATTAGTAGGTTACAACAAAAAGCAGAGAGCCTGAGAATTCTATTTCTTTTCACTTTGGGGAGAGTATTGTTCGTTTGAATTTTTACTTTTAATTCATGCAACTGGAATTTGGGTTTGTTTATATCCTCTATCAACAACTAMATTCTGATGATTCAATGCTGCATCTCCCTCTGTCTAGAAATATTAGTCTAATTCCCACCATCCTCCTGCTTCGTTTCCTAGGAGTAGTTGAAATCACTATCATAGTTGCTATATGTCACCCCTGTGTACAGCCAGTTTTTTTGAGCCACCTATTTTTAAATATGTTTTGTCTTCTACATTCTCTTTTCTGTGTCCTCTATTATGGTTCTGCATTTTAAGTCATGTTAGTAAGTGCTTCAGTGCTACAGTGTTTACACTGTAGATGAAATCTGGTGGCCCCCCCTAACTTCCTCCCCTAGAGACTTCTGCTTTTCTTCCTCTTTCCAATGCATAAGATTTGGAGGTAGGATATCTATAATTTCTTATACCCCAAATCTGCTTACCACATCATTGTTGCATCATTTATCCTGGGTCATTCTCATTTTAATTTGATGAAAAAGAATTATTTTACAGTGTTCATTCCCACTTTATCATCTTAGGCAATATCATATTCCAAATTTCAGGACTTTTTCTCATCTTCTTTTGTGTCTAACAGACCTCCCAACTGTAAGTCCCATCCCTTACCAACATCCTTAGTAACTTGAAAATATACCACCCAATACCCTAACATTATCATTTTAACCACCTTAAATCAATAAATGTAATGTCCACCTCAACTTTGTACCTACCTGCCAGCAAACCTCCACTTCCAAGTTAAGCTAATACAGTAAACAATAGAAACTTGGAAATCAGAAAGATCCAAATTCAAATCTACATGTACCCACTTTCTATCTCTGTGAACTTGAGCAAGATATTAATTGAATTATTTCATTCATCGCGTATTTGCAGAGCACCAAAAGACTGAAGGAAGAGTCACAATACAGTTAATGAGACTCTCAGGCAATGTGCCTGTTCAGAACTACAATAGCAATATAAGAAGAGATCTGGGAGAATGTCTTGAATAGTGAAAAAAATAAACTCATCCTTGGATTTATTTCTCTGTTCCACCTTGGATGGGTTACGAAGGCTATTTAAATTTTACCTAAAAATGATATATTTTTAAAAAATCTATTTCACAAGGTTTAGGAGAATTCAGTGAACTTTATGAAGCCATAGCAAAGCATCAGGTGATACAACAAACAATATAGTAATGTTAATTTTCTCCCCATTTCTTCCAAAGAGTCCAGAAATCCTTCTCCCATATTCCCAACTAACTTCTCCTTCTTTGCAGTTTCCCACTTACCCTAAATCTTTATCTTGATTTTAGTTTTTGGTTTTGTAGAAATATACCAAAAAAAAAAAAACAGCTACATGAAAAAAGAGGGTATTTATTTAGAGCTTGCTGTAGCAAAGGGTTCAGCCAACATCAATTGTGTTTTGCAGAGACGCAAAGGGAAGCAAAATTCCCCTAGAGGGAAGAAGGGACAGAAGTGCTCTGATAGGAGACTGTTTATATGGGAAAGCTGAAAGTGTCCAGCTGGAGGTGTAGCATTTTGTGTTATTGTTTAGGAAAAGCATATTTGGTTTAGCTTTCTTTTGGTTGGAAGTAGGCATAAAAATTAGGGAATAGTAATTAGTAATCAAGTTCCTGCCATTTTGAGTCTTTTGTCATAGAAATTACTGTTTGGCTCCCTTGATTGTTACTGGAGAGAGTGGCCTGACTGTCTGCAAGTCTGACATAGAGCAGGCTGACTCCCAGGCTGGTGAACAGAGATAAAAGTTGATTTGTTGGGCAAGTTGCTTCTGGGTGTGGGTCAGAGTTCTGTTTTTGCCATTGTAGATGCATTCTTCACTTCCTGAACCTTCTCCTTATATTAGCAGTCGTTTTCGTTTTAATTTTCTTTACCCATTTGCTAGACCACAATTAGCATACCCCAGTGCTTCCCACAGCAGCCTGTCTAACTTGACCGTTTGGCTGTTTTGCTGTAGGCTTGCTGCCAGTTATTAAACTGATCCTATGCAACCTTGTCCTCTGAGCAGCTTTGGCTATTGCTCTACAGCTTTGTCAGCCTGCAGAGGAGTGAGTTTCACTGTTCTTCAGCTCTCAGTTCTTCCAGAAGGGATACCTCTGATTAAAGTGATGAGGCTTGCAGAGATACACCCACTGAGTATACTGGGGCTGAGGTAGTCCCTTAGGAGAAAGCACTGCTGGTTTGTACATGCTCACCAGCTTGCCAGTCTCACTTGCATCATTCTGTACGAAATTCCAGCCTTTTCTCTTATTTCGGCATCCATTTCCTGCCTCTAACCTTGCAGAGTCCCTCCTAGACCTTATTTCAAGATGACACTCATATGGTGTTCATCTTCCAATGAGAACTGACTTCACTTGAATACAGCTTTCTCTCTCTGCTTGTCTCCTCCTGGTCTTATTGCCATAAAGAGTGCTGCATTCTCAGTTCACTCTTTGCTAAAATCTTATTACTTGGTAATTAAACTCCCTTCATGCTTATGGCTCTCCCCATTCCTGAAAGTTGAAAGAATACTGATGTTCTGCAACCTGTCAGCATCTTCTCACTATTTTGACAACCTCTCCCAAGATCTCCTCCACCCATGCACTCTTTTCCAAATATATTACTTTAAGTCATCTTATTTCTATTAACTACCCTCTACCCTCTTAAGTATTTGCACTCTGAATCATACTGCCCACTCAATGTCTCCCCAGCTTTTTTATGTCTTTCTAAATAATGTTATCTCCCTATAAAATAGTCTTATGTTTTTTTGGTCTGACTTGTGTTATTTCTTCTCCCCTTGTATTATTTTGCTGATATATACTGCAAGAAATGATGCACTCACAATTTTCCACCCAAATCTATAAAATATCATCTGCTTCCAACTTGTCTTTCAAGTGCGTTTTTATTTATTTTTTTAAGAGATGGGTTCTCTCTCTCTCTCTCTCTCTCTCTCTCTCTCTCTCTCTCTCTCTCGCCTAGGCTGGCCCTGAACTCCTGGGCTCAAGCAGTATTCCTGCTGAGTGGCTGAGTAGCTCACTCAGCCTCCCAAGTAGCTGAGACTGCAAAGACAAACCACTGTGCCAGCCTTCAAAGTCCCTTTTAACTAGCCTCAATTGTTAAAGTCCCTTTTAATAAACCTTAATAATTTCCTTGATCTATTTTCCCTTTTATCAATGTCAGTAATTATTTCTTATATAATTTTCTCAAATTTGAAGGAAAGAGAGAATGTAGGTACTTAGGTTTAAACTATACATTTTTTCTTTTATCTACATTAACTTCCTTCCACAATGTTTATATTGACACAACCAAAATATATATTTATTTATTCATTTATTTTTTAAAGACCAGATTTTACTTTGTTGCTAAGGCTGGTCTTACACTCTGGGGCTCATGCAATCCTCCAGCTATATTAAATATAAGTGACCCATTTGATCCCTTTATTACTGCCGCCCCCCTCTTGTCTTTCCTCAGTTCTGAACTCCACTCCACTCTACTTTCTTCTGTTTAGAGATGACCTGATTGGAGATGGCACCAACCCTGTAGAACTCAGTTCCTCCCACTTTCTTTCCAGCTCAGAATCCCTACAAAGTGTCTTCAATCATCCTTTCCTCCTCCCATTTTTATCTTAAAGTAAGAGATAAAGCTAAGCCCTGTATCCACACAATTAATCTTAAGGAAATAAATGGAGACCAACTCCATAAGGAAAAGCAAAGGCTGTGTATTCAGAGCTTGCTACAGCAAAGGAGGCAGCTACCATCGATTGCATTTTGGCAGAGACTGGAGGGCAGGCAGCAAGTGAGAAAGATTCACAGTGGAAAAAAATATTACATGCTTTCTTTTTTATCTAAATTAAAAGTA